CCATCCAGCCAATTCCTTATCCACCAAGTGGTCCATCCATCAAAACCATGTCTCTCCAGTTTAGAGACAAGGATGTCATGTGGGGCAGTGTCAAATGCTTTGGATAAGTCCAGGTAGATGATGCCAGTTGCTCTTCCCCTATCCATCAATGCTGTAACCTCATCATAGAAGGCCACCAAATTAGTCAGGCAGGGTTTGCCCTTAGTGAAGCCATGTTGACTGTCACCAATCACCTCCTTATTTTCCATGTGCCTTAGCATAGTCGCCAGGAGGATCTGTTCCATGACCTTGCTGGGCACAGAGGTGAGACTGACTGGCCTGTAGTTCCCTGGGTCTTCCTTTTTTCCCTATTTAAAGATGGGGGCTGTGTTTCCCCTTTTCCCTTGCTGGGCACAGAGGTGAGACTGACTGGCCTGTAGTTCCCTGGGTCTTCCTTTTTTCCCTATTTAAAGATGGGGGCTGTGTTTCCCCTTTTCCAGTCATTGGGATCTTCACCAGACTGCCACGACTTCTGAAATATGATGGATAGTGGCTTAGCAACTTCATCTGCCAGTTCCCTCAGGACCCGCGGATGCATCTCCGCTGGGCCCCTGGGCCTTCGGGTTCCTTAGATGATCACAAACCTGATCTCCTCCTACAGTGGGCACTTCTTCATTCTCCCAGTCCCTGCCTTTGCCTTCTGTGGCTTGGGCCGTGCAGCTGGAGCTCTGGCCAGTGAAGGCTGAGGCTATGCAAGCAATATATAATCTACTGGTTTTTCTCTATCCATCTTTTATGCTCACACTGGGCCCTCATAAATAATGCCTAATGTCAGCATTCTAAGAGAGAAAAGTAACAGTTTATTTGCCTAAATGTAGGTTTGTCCATACCTGTTTTTCTTGTGGTTCCAGCTTCAAATCCCAGTGAGCTGACCAGAGTTGATATGATGATTTCGAGAGCTTTCCTTCTAGCAGCTTCTGTTATGACCCTAAGATCTCAGGGTTTCTCTGCAGGCACTCAGCATAAACGGCATGTTTCATAAAAGTAAGATGCTTGTTCCAGCATCTTACAAGATTTTTTTTCTCCAGTGTCCCTTTTGCTCTACTTAACATTGCACTGTATGCTTCCCCAGATGTAGCTTCGCTGTATGATAGCAAAGATGTTTTGCACTGCCTTGTTTTTATCACTGAACCGTTTCTGAATGCCTTTGGGCTCCCTGATCTATGTGAGAAGTTCTATGGGACTGGCTCCATATTGAAATTTCTGCGTGTCAGGACCTGATTTTTTGTCACTTCCGTGTTAAAATAGAGCAGGCTTGGTGTTACTCCGAACTACTGATTCTTCAAGCGCTCTGTGTTTCAGTTGTTGTGTTTATATATCAAGGTCCGTGAAATGGAAGGTGCCAACAGCCTACAGTTGGTCTTTGTAGTGTAGTTGTGCAGGTCCCAGACCTTTGCTCAATCCTCCCCTTTCCAAGCACTCAGGAAATGGATTTCTAGTTGCAAAGGAAGGACACAGCCATGCTGGAACGTGACATTTCCTTGCACATCCTTGGATATGTTATGTGTGAAGTCTGCAAGAGTCCTGCCCTGAAATTCTCAGCAGCCTGAGCATGTTGGAGATCCATTACCATAGTAAGGGAAGCAAGTTATTTTTTCAACCTCAAAGTAATTTTCTCTTCTCTGGGAGAAGGTTTCTACCCGTCCAGTAGCCCTGATAATGCGTAAGAAAAATTACATTGAAAACCACTTTCCTTCTGTTTATTAACAGTGAGTTGTTTTACAGTTCTTACATGCTGTTGTCTTAATTTGTTTGTTTCCACAGGCTACATTTAGATGCTGTTTACAGCAATAAAGAGAATATTACGTTTGATCTAGAGTTCTGTCTTAATTCACAGGATGAGATGCGAACAGAAGCTCGTCGAAAAAATCTCCTCATTCTAATTTTGCATTATTTAATGGAGGAAGGGTATGTTTTTTAATTAATAACACTCTACATTTCTCGTTTGGTGTGTGTCTGACCTCTTGTAATGTGTCCTTCTGTCCTCTGTTGGCTGGATGGGCAGCATGACCCTTTGGTTTGACGTGAGAAAGAGGTAAACTACTATTACATGTCTTGGCAATTTACTTTGCTAAATTGTTTCAGTTTCTGGAACAAAAACGTCCAATATAATTTAAAAATAATTCAGAGGAATCAGCAAAGTGTTTTTTAAAAAAGTTTATGCTTTTACAATAAATAGTGTTGTGGACAGGTTAAAAATATCATATACTTACTAATGATATTGTTTGGTTTTCTCTCAGAAATCAGAATAAGATAATGACTCTCAGTTTTTTGATCTTTTTTTTTTTTTTGAAATTACCAGGTATGTCAATGCTGCAAATGCTTTGGAACAAGAGACGAAATTAAGTTTGCGTGGCTTTGAAGTTTGTGACAACATTGATCTTGAGACAATTTTGATGGAATATGAAAGCTATTACTTTGTAAAATTTCAAAAGTATCCTAAAATTACCAAAAAGGTCCTGGACACTGGTATGTGACTGTTTTCCAAAAAGAAAGCTTTTGTTTCTCAAAGCCTAAAATGTGTATTTGCCTGATATACTTACTGCACTTTTTGTGTATGTCAACATTTAATGTTTGAACTCTGTCTTACAGTTAGAAAGCTATAGTTCTAGCACGTAGGACATAAGAATTGAGAGATGGGGCTTTGAGCTCTTCTGCTCTTCCTCCTCTCTTTATGTAGAGGAGCAAGAAGGTGATATATTTCTGTCTTTGAAAAACTGCTTTGATATTGGAAAATGTCGTGTAATCACAAAGTATTATGGCATAGATGTTTTCACTTTCTTCTCATGGGGAGAGAACAGTAAGTTTGTTCTGTTTTGGATTTAGTTTTAGATTAAAATGAACCACTTAAATGAAATACTGTATCTTAGCTCATCCAAGCTAGTGTTTAAAAGTTTATCACCACTAGTCTTATTAACTGTTTATTTTGCACATTTACGTATACATATTCATGTAAAGGTAATGTGCCAAGTAAGTAGTTGGTTCATTTCCTTCAAAAAAATTTTTTTAAAAAAAGCTGAGGTATAAATTAATGATACAGAATAAGGCAAACCAGAATATGAGCATGCTGTTGTGACTCTGAGAGCCTGAATGGTTTTCTAATTAAACACAAAATGTAACCTAGAGAAGCCATAAGAACAACTGTATAAGAATCAGTTATGAAGAGCTTGGAGGGTACAGAGAACACCAACTTCTCTACCTATTTGTCTTGTAAGAAAAACATAAGCATCAGAGAAGGGGATGATTGGCCAGGGAACATCTCTGAGCAGTTGTTGTTGTGTCATACGGCTGCCAGCAACTTTGAAATTGGAAGTAAATGAAATATTATATGAATATAATAAAATTGCCCATATAGGTGAGACGATTTTGAAAGCTACTAAAGCTGTTAGTCATCATTACATTCATGGTGATGTGGAAGATCAGTGCGAGCTGGGAGCAAGCATTAACTGCATGAAAAAGAGATGGATGGCTAGAACATATTGATTGACTTTAATACAAAGAGGAGCAGTCTTGCAGGACAAAACCAAAGGGATTTGTTATGAATCAAGAAGGAGAATGTATTACAAAGTGTCTGTCACATGCTTACTCAAGCTGAGTGGAAACCAAGGCTTGATCCACGATCCAAATGAAAAAGCAATTCCCAAAAAACTACTCTAGACACTTACAAGCTCTCAGCACCCATTTTTTGGTCAGCAGAGCTACTCAGACAGGGGATATTCTGCCGTTACCCACGCTCAGAATTGCGACCATGCTGACAGGGATGCATCATCTTTCTTTCCCTGAAGCATAAGCAGCCTCCTCCCTTGCACGTGGTTTGCAACCTGCCTTGAATCGTGTCCGTGGTCAGATCGTGGTGCACGCAGGCCAAACAAAATGATTAGCATGGTGCTCTGTTCCTGCTAAATTCCTTGCAATACTCTCGGCAAGTCCTGCAGAACCAACTCGGTCGTTTCTATGCTGCGTCGCAGTTTGTTGTGTTGTAGATGTACCTGCAGGATTACAAGCTTCACGCGTGGGCTCTGCTGCCTCTAAGTGCACTGTGTTCCCAAGCTCTTCCAGGGAAAGATCTTAGGAAGGATTATTTCATGTCAGTGTATAAGAATCTGAGTGGAAGAGCATTGTGCAGAGAATACAGGTAGGAGGTATGTTTTGAAACAAGTAGGTGCATGGTGGTATGATACAAACTCTCAGCTTTATGAGTTCACATCTGGGCTTTGTGAGTTTGACATCTTGTGTGAAAAAAAGCTTTTGTTTGGCAGAAATTGTTTCAAGTGATAGAAGTGAAAAAAATAACATAGTTTGATAACCACCATTGCAATGTGACATTTATGCTGACTTGGTATGTTATGCATGATAAAATTACTATTAAGAGGAGTAAGGCAAATTCTTATTTCCCAATTCAGCAGTGAAAAAAATATTAGCATTAAATAAGCATTCTATGTGACATATTAAATTAATTTATTGTGCTTAATCTAATTTCTGGTAGTGTCCATTTTACTGTGAAAATGATATTGATTTTAAAATGTAAGCAAAGAAACCAAACCTGAAGCCAGACTGCTCTCTCCAATATCAGTTTGTTTTCAAAACATTATTGCAAGTTTGCATTGCTTATAGTCATGCTGTTCCTGGTTATGCATTGTTATTTCTAAGGTCATTAATAGGTGCACAAAAATATTTTTGAAAGGGAAAAAAAAATCATGTTGCCCTTTTTAAATTATTTTCCATTTTAATATTAATTTTGCCACAGCAGAAAATAAACAACAGCTGAGAACTGGAGGAAGACCAAGAAGGTAAGAGAAATGCGTAAAGTCTTTTCTGGGCAGAAAAAATTCCTATAAAAGCAATATGCAGCATGGTTAAAATAGTGTTGTGAAACCATAGGAATACTAAAGCCTAAAGTCACTCTGCTGACTGCATGGTGCATTTTTTTGTATCTTTTAGAGGAACGTAGAGACTTATTTCCCAAAACTTCCCCTTTTACAAAGCTTCTGCAGTGTGGATAAGGTAGAGTGGCAGAGTGCCATGTTTGAAAGCAGTAAGCATTGAGCTTCTCTGTGATTGAAACTGATTCCTTAACTTCAGTGGGAGCAAAATTAGCCCAAAACTGCTTTATTTGAAAACTCTGCTTTTTAATCCTTTGGTATTTCGAAGGAAAAAAACTTGTGAAAGCCTTTCAAGATACTGTTTTTTTTTGTTCTAGGGCAGCAAGCTCTTCTCAGAATCTCCCAAGGCTCAAACATCAGACAGAGCAACGACCACTGTCAAAAACTTCACCTGGGAGTACAATGGAATTTAAGTCATGCACCAAGGAGAGCCCCATACAGGTGTAAACATGTTTTATCTTGGCAGCATTACAGTTGAAATTAATGTGATTTTAATTTGAGAGACTATAGGCAGCAAGAGGATGTGAGTTACACAGTTAATAATTGTGTAACTAATGACTTTTACTAGTTATGTGATTTAAGGATTATAAATGCAAGACTTCAGGAGAATATGCTTTCTGGCTGTGAGTTGGGGAGCAAGTCACAGGCAAAAACTAGAGGTAAAGGAATCATATAGTCCAACCTAAACTGAAAGCAACCAGAGTTTTCCCATTAACATCAGCAGGTTCATCCATTAGTGCCAGAAAGCCAGACAAATAAACCAGGTAGAAAGTCTGGTGTCAGTTGTAAGCATCTTCACAGTGCATAAGGTGTTTGAGCTTGGGGGAGTAATTTGGCTTTGTAATTTTCAGATTAATGAGTCTCGTTTTGGTAAGATTATTATGAAAACTACTTTATTACCATCCCTTACAGACTTAAAAGTCCTGTCCATATTCCTGCATAGGGTGGATCTCATCTCTGATCAGTTCTCTCACCCTTTAGAAAAAATAGTTTTTGGACACTACAGCAATGACTGCTATGAAATGAATGGCTCCTGATTTGACATGCTGTGCCTTATGTTTGCCTGTCATTTCCACTGTTCATAAGTGTTACTTCTCATAACTATGCACAATGCAAATTTCTACAACTTAAAATGGAAGCTCTGTGCATGAAATAACTTGAATGCTAAGCTCTAGAGCCATGGCTTTGACCACTGCTGTCACCAGTCAGATGAAGCCTAACTAAATGTGCAACGGTGTCTGTCTGACAAATGTGGGACTACTGTTGCAACTTCCATGTAATGGTACAGTTCATCTGGGCATGTATGAAGAGGTGGGATGATACCTATAATGGAATGATATCTGCAACTCATCTACTTGGCAACACATGTGTTTTAAAATTGATTTTTCCTTAGAGTAACGACAGCGCAGTTAGTCTGGAGCAATCTGACTTCGGCTTAAGCATCTCAGCAATCAAAAAAACTGGAGGAGACAGCACTCACCCAAGAAGGGCTGGTGGAAACCTAGTAGGTGATTTATGGTAGAAATGTGTACGTAGAAAAACACATGAATTTTTTTCACAAATACCAAATGCGAGCTTTTTATGTCTATTTTTGTTTAAAGTGTTCCTGTATAATTAACTGAAGGGTCAATTTTATTATTTAGGTTGTAGTTCTTTGCATAGGAGGCTCTGCTTGCATTAAATAGTATTTCAAACATTGTCAAGAAGGAAAAATATTTCTGTTTTTAAAACCCAGTGGTAATAGCTAAAACTGAAGATAAATTTCAAATTCCTGAATGAGATGATAAGAGGCTCTGCAGTTAAATTGTTGCACTGACTGAGGACATGTGTGTTCTTTTCTCCTTGCTACCACAGATTCTGTGGTAAGTTTTTGCCATATTTAGGACTGTATGTGCAGTAAGGAAACTCTTTGCTGTAATTGCAAGCAAAATTTGGCCCATTGCAGGTTTAACAGTAGAGCTACCATCATGGTAAAGCCTATAACAACGTTATTTTCTTCTTTAGGGCCAAGTAATTGACTTCCATGAGGCAATTCAGGATGCTGTCAAAGTATCATCAAATGGAATAGCCTTGAACAGCCTTAATTGTGATCCAGATCCATCAGTAAGTGTTCTGTTCATATTTCTATCCAATGGATGTGAACATCAGTTTTACATAACCAGGAACAAAATAAAATGCCACAATGATGTTGTCTTTGTTCCCAAGTGCTAAAAAAGGGCTTAACTTTTTGAGCAGTGTATTTCCTTCTTGAATGGACCGTCATACTTGATACTAGTCTACTTTGTTGACAGTCGTTTACTCTTTGAACATGAAAGTAGGCAACAAATACAAATGATACCTTATGATTCACCAAAAAAAAAAATAATTGCAGAAGCCCACAAAACTTCTGGGGGTGAAATTCTGGTTCCTTTGAATTCAATACGTTATTTAATGTTCACCTCAGGTGAGACAAGAACCAGAGTTAAATGGCAGAGATAGAAAATTTTCAGTAATCACTCTTTGACACAAGCCATAGCTTCTAGGACAGTGCATCCAGCTTACTTGGTGCCACGCTGCCTGGCAGCTGCTGCACTTGAAGAGACTTTCAAAGCAGAGAATGTGACAATGCAGTGATCCATGGTTACGTTTTTCACTTCCCTTAATCTGTGTAGGGCATGTTTAGGACTGCACGTGGAATAAGGGAGCTGCTCATTGTAATGTTAATTCAGGATTAGATTATCATAGAATCATAGAGTGTTTTGGGTTGGAAGGGACCTCAAAGATCATCCAGTTCCAACCCCCCTGCCATGGGCAGGGACACCCTCCACTACACCACGTTGCCCAAAGCCCCATCCAACCTGGCCTTGAACACTTCCAGGGATGGGGCAGCCACTTCTCTGGGCAACCTGTTCCAGTGCCTCACCACCCTCAGAGGGAAGGATTTCTTCCTTAGATCTAATCTAAATCTGCCCTCTTTCAGTTTAAAGCCATTGCCCCTTGTCCTGTCACTACACGCCCTTGTCAAAAGTCCCTCTCCAGCTTTCTTGTAGGCCCCCTTTAGGTACTGGAAGGCTGCAAGAAAAAGGGATGAATCGGATTATGTCCGATGAAAAGATGAGTTACTGTAAATATGGCTTCCTTCAAAATCTTTATTATTATCCATATTTTTACAGCTTTGAAAGTTGATCTTATTACTATTTATCAGCTTTTTTTAAACTATTTCATAGTTCCTCTATTTAAAAACAATTGAAGTCTGACAAGAACTTGTGTTTGTCTTTTTTAGGAACGATTATTGAAACCCCTTAGTGCTTTTATTGGCATGACTGGTGAGATGAGAGAGCTTGCAACAGTCGTAAGCAAAGTAAGATCGGATCTACATTTCACTTGTATGGAGATGTTGGTTATCTTTGTCATCTGAGAATGATGTTTGCTTCTTTTTACTGTCACTGGTAGTGCTTATTCTTGAATGTGCAAGCTATTTTTCTTACCATGCGATTCCCAACAAGTCATTTCTTTACATATAACAATGTTTTCCTGACACACAATAGGAGGAAGTAATTAAGACTATTTCTTTCTAACGGGCAACATATAATCTAATCATGCTGTACCCATGGGACCGTCATAGCTTTTCCCTTTTTTCTTGCTGCTGCAGAAAATGTACAATACTTCACTGAAAATAGAGATTTAAATGTATTAGCTAATACCAACTAAGTGTACCTACTAGATACCGTATACTCAATTTATTAGACACTGATTTTCCCACGTTGTTTTTAACGCTGGTCCTGTGCCTTGCATTGCACTGCCTGCATGAGCTGGGCTCTTTGTCTTTTCTTGCGTGACGCAGTTGAGACACGCAATTACTGCAGGCTCTGCGAGCAGTGCCCTTCCCTTATCCCAGCTGCATGGGCAGCACCAGTAATAGTACCCTGTGTCCCAAGGCAGACCGGGGATTCTTCCAGGATGGGCACATTGACACCCAGAGGGAATCCCAATGTTGTCAGCACTGTTACATTTCACTCGTGGGTCGAGGTGCAGTCTAGCAAATGGGCCTCGGGCTACTGGGGACCAGTGGCTACAAAATGGGTATACGCTTTGCTGGCGTCACCTCCCAAACCCCGCTTGGTGTTTGTCCAAAAGGCTTCCTGCTGTCACAATGTTTGATGGTGTTGTGACTCGTTCTGCATATAAGCATCAGAAATGGTATCAGCTGTTGCTCTCGCATACCTAAAATCAGGTGTTCTAAAAAGCCTGGAACACTTCATAGACTGATTTTAATATCTGTATATGGCCAAATTTTCAATCTGCAAGTTTTGCATTTGCAGTTTAATAGAGCTGAAGTCTTAAGAAATTTCCAACCTGAACATAAGGAAATTCTCATTCTTTTCAGTTCCTGTCTGGTTTTTAATTTATGGTAAACCTTTAAAATAGTGTCGTTCTTGCTGCTGCTTTAGCAAAAAGCAGTAGGGTTGCTTTAGCCTTCGTTATGGTATGTTTTTGAAATTGTGCTTCCTAGTTGCTATGGTAATCAACACTGTGTAAATCAATAAAAATAAATAGCATGTGGTATCTATTTCACAACACAATCTAATTTAATTTGGAAACAGTTATGGAAGTCTCTACTTAGTATCATAAATCTGATTCATCTTAATTTGCTGTTAATAGAAAGTGTAATCTACTCTATATAAATAATTTTTCTAATTGTATTAAATCAAATTTTCCCCTCGGATATAAGCACATAATTTTTCTTCAGTCTCTGAGGACTGTTTTTATTGGAGAGCAGAATTTATCCCAAGTATTTGTTTTGAGGATATAATGTTTTCTGCAGAACAATTAGTCTCGGGAATGCAAAGCCACGAAATATGACTAAGGCAAATAGAAAGATTCATAGAAGATTTTGAAAGTTTGATGAATTAAGTGAAATTAATTTAGTGAATGCTTCAGGGCATAAACTAATTGCCGACTATCTTTTGATAGGTGCTTAGGGGAAAATTTTCCTATTGTTGCAGAGCTTCTCACACCTTTTCTTGCAGCATATAAAGTATTGCGTAGTGTGGAGTAAATAGCAATTTTTCACTGTAACTTGTAACATAAGTAATAGGTGCAGCCATAAAGTTACTGAGCATCAAGTTTAAAAGAAACAAAAGTATTTTCACATTGCACGTGATTAAACTATGGAAATCATTACTACAGCATAACCGTGTTCAAAAAAGAAGAGAAATTCACTGAAGAATGAATGTCAAAGCGTGTTTGAACTCAAAGACTAAGATGTAATTTTAATTATCAAATTCCTTCAGTTGCAGATTTTCAGAAGGTGGATGTAAATATGAACCAACATGTCATTCCTATTGCTTATACTTTTTTTAAACATCCAGCACTTGCTATCAGAGACAAGATGTTAGCTTGGTGAACCTTCATATCATGATAGCTCTTCGTATGTTAGTTGGTTACTAAAACCAGCTAACAGAAAAAGGATCTGAGAAACAAATCTGCTCAGCATATACGTTTGCCAGTGTGTATGCTCTTGGGGAAACTAGGGGCAAGGCACCTAACAGCTCTGTAGAAATGATGGCTGTGTGTTCTTCCCTCTTGTGAGCTGCCTAGTACGCAGGATTAAATAATACAGTTTGCATCACTTAATGGCACTATTACTTTTTAAGTGAGGTGATTTACTTTACCCGAGGAGGTTATCCCAGTGCAGAAGAACTTAAGTTTTGCTGACAGGATGCCATGTATGTTGCAGGCCATTTATCTCCATAATCCAAACGTGAAGTGGGACGATATTATTGGACTGGATGCAGCTAAAAGGCTAGTCAAGGAGGCAGTTGTTTATCCCATAAGGGTAAGGCACCAAATAGTTCTGGGAAAACCAGTGTTGGGCTCATTACCATTTTCCTTGTAATTACAGTGGTGTTTTAGAGTTCTCACTATTTCTGTGCTTTTGTAGGCAGCTCATGTTAGAGCTATTCCTGTTCCTGTTTCATCTGACAATGGCATATGCATTTTCCTACAGGAAAAGAGCCTTTCAATCAATATTAAAAGTGTAACTGTAAAATTGGGTCCTATTCCTCGGCACCTTTGTCAATGTAAGAGGTGCTGGATTCGGCCTATATTAATTCAACAGAAAATGACTTACAGGAGAGAATATCAAACCAATAGCATTTGAAGGATTCACTTCATTTCAAGGGGTAGATTCAGTATTCTTCTCAGTACTCAGATCATATATATTATATCGTATCGGAGGGTTTTGCCCCCTCTCATCAAATTTCTTAGGTTTCCTGAATGTGTTGGGAGCAGTGGGGCTAGGGGCTAGAATCCCTTGCATTTTGTTACAAATCATACATTTTTAGTCCCTGAATTACTTTTTGGTTTCCACAGTACCCCCAGCTGTTCACAGGCATTCTGTCTCCTTGGAAAGGACTATTGCTGTATGGACCACCAGGTATGAAGAACTTTATACCATATCCATTTGTTTATCACTACGTCTGGTTTTGTCCCACAGATAAATCATTTACGCTAATTAGATCAAATGTGTTAATAAAGAACATGTTTCAGCAAGGGATGGAACACCCCTCCTATGAGGAAAGGCTGAGAGAGTTGGGGTTGTTCAGCCTGGAGAAGAGAAGGCTCCAGGGAGACCTTATTACTTTATTGCAGCCTTTCCACACGTAAAGGAGGCTTAGAAGAAAGATGGGGACAGATTTTTGTCAGGGCCTGTAGCTGTAGGGCAAGGAGTTTTAAACTGAAAGAGGGTAGATTCAGACTAGACATAAGGAAGAAATTATTTATGCTGCGGGTGATGAAACACTGGCACAGGTTACCCAGAGAGGTGGCAAATGCCCCATCCCTGAAAACATTCAAGGCCAGTTTGGACGGGGCTCTGAGCAACCTGATCTAGTGGAAGATGTCCCTGCTTATGGCAGGGGGTTGGACTTGGTGACCTTTAAAGATCCCTTCCAACCCAAACCGTTCTGTGATTCTATGCCTTTTTTAATTTTGGTGTTTTTACCTGGCTGATTGTAGGATGAAGGTAATTATGCAAACATTTGCGTTGTATTTCTTTAGAAGAGTGAATTTCTTCAATGCTGTTGTTTGTAGGTACTGGAAAAACTTTGCTTGCTAAGGCTGTTGCCACAGAATGCAATACTACCTTTTTCAACATATCAGCATCCACCATTGTCAGCAAGTGGAGGGGTGATTCAGAAAAACTTGTCCGGGTAAGAATTGTTATCTTATTCGTTAAACTTTAACAAACATCAGGTTCTCACTTAGAAAAATGGAGTTTAACATGGAACTGGAAAATGAGTATTCCTCTGATACTCATAATCTTTCCTGTCCTGGACAAAACATGTCCATATGACTGTTCAGCCAGTCTCCATATGGCTGGTTCGGC